CTGTTATTTTTGAAAGCTGTTATGCAAATAAAAAAAAAACAGCAAAATTAATTATAATTGTTTCCATTTTAATTTTTTTAATTGAAATTTAATTTTTTTTAATTAATTTTTTTTTTGTGTGTTTTTTAAAACAAATTTTTTTCTTCACTGCCACACGCGCCTGCACTTTCTATGTAGTCTGCTTAATTTTGCATTAGCACGCTTACTTCTATATTGATTTTTTATTTTTGCCACGGCTTTAAAGAAAAGCAACTGAGTTTTTAACTACCAGTGTTTGCTAATTTTTTCACACAAGTTCTTGCAATTTTACCAAACTATATGTAAGTTAAATATTTAAATTTTAATGTGTCTGAATTATTTCTTTCTTTAATGCGTCGGATTTATTTCCGTTGCCTGCAAAAATAATAATTTGTTATTTTACTTTTGCAATGGTTAAATTCTTGCATTATTGTTTATTATTTTAAGTGTTGCCAAATTTTTGTTAAAATCTATTTTTTTTAACGAATTTATGCCACAACGTACACTGCATATGTATAAGCAAGTATTATTTGAGTTTAAGCATTATTCTGCTAGTGATTTCTTCTCACTTTCACATAAATTTTATAAAATTTTTTATTTTTGTATATTTTTTTTTTTTGTGAAACCGTATATTTTCCGTTTTTGAGTTTAGAACAGTTATTGCGGTTTGATTTTTAAAGTTTGCTCAATTTAGTTTACCTTAATAGCGCATTTATAACGGTTATCGTATGATTTCTGTTTTTTTTTACCAAAAAAATGTTTTTTTGACGCGCTTGCTGCTCAATACTATAATATTTTTTAATTTTGTTTTTAATGTGTTCTCTTGTCACTGAATTCAAATTATGTGAGAATTTTAGAAATATTTTTTTTTCAAAAATTAATTTTATTTTTAATTTTAATTGTGTTTTATTTATATATTTTAGATAAACACAACGCGTGTATGCACATTTTTTTGAAATCATTAAACAAATTGTACGTCTATAATTATTTTTTTTTACTTTTATTTTTTAGTATGTGTTTGCATAATTATTTAAAAAAATTTAAAAAAAGAAATTGGGGGAAAAAAATTTGGAAGTTGGCTTTTTAAAATATGTTTTTGCTTTTATATTTTAGTGTGTGTTTATCGTGTGTTTGCATATACATATTTTTGAAAACAGTTTTGGAAAAAAAATGGTGAAAACATCTTGTGTTTTTTATTTTATATTTAATATTGTTAAATGCCTGTGATTTTTCTTTCTTTTAGCAGTTGAAAGATTTTTTTTTTGTTTTTCAAAATTTATTTAACCCCCTTAAAGGTTATTTTTTCATTATTTTTAAATATGCCGTAATGCTACCGGTTATATTTTTGTGTTTTTACCTGCAAATTCAATGAGGTTTGTTGTCTTCTCACTAATTTCTGTTTGTTGCCTGCAATTTTGCATTCACTATAGTTATTTTTGCACTACTTATCATATGCAGCGTTGACGTTGCTCATTTTTTGGTTGTCGCACTTAATTTCTTTCCGTGTTGTTGGGCTTCAGCTGCTTTTACAGTGCACAAATTTTGTATATGAATTTTGGTTATGACTGCTATTTTTTATACTTTTTCCAATACTGCAAATGCGTGTTTCTGCTGACATTTGGGCCTAATCTTTTGTTTTCAAATTTTAATGTGAGTTCGGGTGTTTATGTGGAGTTCACCACGGAATTTTTTTTATGCAATTTGGCTATTTTGCAAAATTGTTTATTTTTATTTTTTTATAAATAGCGAGACTGCGTGCTTTCGTGCTTTTGCTACAAAAGCGAACAAATGTGTTGTTGTTGTTGTTTTTTTTGTTTATTTGCTGTTAGTGTTGCTCAATATTTTCTTCAGTGTGTTGTGTATTTTGCATTTTTTACACCAATTCAAGTTGGTTTTTGTTGTTTAACGGACCTCAAATTTTGTGAATATATTTTTTTTTATTGTTGTTTATATATTTTTTGTTATTGTTGTTTATATATTTTTTGTTATTGTTTTAGGTTTTGTTGCAAATGTTTAATATTTTGGTTTGCTTTTTCTGCTGCTCCTATCGAAATTTACCTCTCTTGCTGTGATCTTTTGCATGACCATAACCGTCATTACTATTTTTGTGTTCACCATCATCATTATTTCTGTCATCAGCATATACTCAGCAATAATGTTATATATTAACACCCACAACGTTGACTTGTCAGCGTTGTTGTTGTTGTTGTTGTTTAAAAAAAGCAATATATATTTAAAAATTATGTTAATAGTATATTAGAAAACCTAAATACATCATCATCATACACATTTCTCTGCATTTAATTTAATAAAAAAATAATAATAATAATAAAAATAAAAAAATATGTAATAAGTAGTTTCAACAAAACGTTTGAAACGCATTTATAATTTTTATTTGTTTTTGTGTTTTTACTACTTGGCTTACTGACTTGACGCAGGTGGCTGTTGTTGTTGCTGCGGCGGCGACTGCTGCTGCTGCTGTTGTTGTTGTTGTTGTTGCGGCTGTTGTTGCAGTTGATGTTGTTGCTGCTGCTGTTGTGTTACTTGCTGCTGCTGCAGCTGCTGGGTCCCACTGCCGGCAGTGGCAGCAGCTGCTGCAGCGGCGGCGGCGGCGGTTTGCTCCTTGGCGGCTTTCTGTTTTTTGGTCACCGGTGGCGGATTCGTCGACATCATCATAGCGCGTATGCGTCGCTGTGCCGACTGAAAAAAGCAACAAGCACACACAATTTTTTCAAATTAATTTCGTAAATAGCAACAATTGGGTTTTTTTATTTTGCCTGCGCTCACCTGTACGCTATAGAATTGTCCGATTATGTGGACGGGAGTCTCCTCATCACCACCCGATGCTGGCGCCACCGCATGCTCTGGTAGCTTGATAACGCTGCCAGTAACGCGTTGCAAGTCGCGCACATTCTGTCCGCCCTTGCCGATTATCCGGCCGACCTATAGTGATCACAAAAATGCATTATTCATATATATTGTAAAGTAATTGTTTGTTGTTTGGTTTTTGTTACGCACCTGTGAGCTTGCCACCATAATTTCGACTGTTAGTCGTACATCTTCGGTGCCGCACATGAATCCCTCTTCCCGCATCTTCTCGAAAATCATGTATTGTGCCTTCCATTGGCCTTCGGGTGTGCCGACGATTGTCACTTTGCGTTCGGTTTGCTGCTCGGCCGGTTTATCGTTGTCGATTGGTGCGATCTTGAGCGAGGCATTGGAGAAACGCATGACACTGCGTATGTATGAGCCTTTGGTGCCGATAATCGCGCCCACCGCATTGTTCGGTATGTACAGGTATGTGGTCTCCTGCATATCGTTGGGGAAGACAGGCGGTACCACACTAGCCGGTGTCTTGGACATCGGGAAACCCGGACACGATTGATATGGCATGCTTGGATTGAATACCATGCCATTGCCGGGTGTCGACATCATGGCCATCGGATGAAGGCCAGGGAACATTAGGCTTTGTGGCGCCATTGCTTGCAAATCGTTCTCGTAGCTTTGTCGTAGTTTGGAACTTATTTGCGCCTCGGCACGTGACATATTATCGATTAGGCCCTTAACCGTAATGATACGTTCCAAATTGAAGCTATTGATATCGTTAATCGAGCTGACAGTGATCTTCGTATCCGTGTCTTGCATAATACGCTTGATCGTATTACCGTTTTTACCAATAATGCGACCGATTAGATTGTTATGTGCCAAAATCTTCAAGCATATGTCACTGTTAGTTGGAGAGTTAACGTGAAAGAGAGAGAGAGGAGAAAAGAGGTTCGACAAATTTTATTTTCATATGCTCATAAAACTATGCTAAACATTTGGAATTAATTTGCAAAGTTCATAGCGAAGCTCGACCGACCCGTTCGTTCTCTTATTTATACCATTACTCACCCTTTATTCGTAGAGATGGCTTCCTGTTGCATCACCTCCAAAATGCGTTTGCACGCGTTCGTGCAATTTTCCGGATTACCATAAATGGTGATCGCTTTCTCCAGCGAGCCGACATTCTCCTTTCGATGCACATCGACACGTGCATGGCTTTGTTGTGTGATCGTGCGTATGGTGATACCTTGACGGCCAATAATGGCGCCGACCATTTCACTTTGCACAAGAATGCGCAGCGGAAAATCAGCTTGACGTCCGGGTCCTGGCATACCGGGATATGGATTGCGCTGATTACGATTAGTGCGACGTTGGTTCTTGTCCAATGGCTCGGCGTGCAATTTGTTGCCCTCGAATTCGACACCGTTCAATCCGCCAGCAGCTCTGTAAATTAACGAAAGAAAATGAAAAGTTGGGTTAGGTTTTTGTAGACTTGCGAATTTTTTACTGACGTATAATGAGAAAAAGTATGTAATATTACAATTTGGAAAGTAATCGAATGACGAAGAGTACTTGGACTCTATTTTCAACTTCTCTACTTTCAAATCAAATCTCTCTAAGAGTTCAAGGTTCTGAAAGAGTTTTAGTTCCTGTAATACGATTTAGTTTTTAATATGACGCAGTTTGTGGAACCCACCACTTGATAAAAATCTCCATTTGAAACTTTGCCAATACCGAAAATAAGTAGAGTTTTGATTCGATTGATCTCAGAAGTTCCTGAAACATGTTCTCTATTTTGATAATACGAAACCTTGCAGTTGTCTGTTATGCTTTAGATTTTGCTAATACGCAGATGTTGAAGCCTACAAAGAGGCCAAGTTACGGTTCAAAATTCGCGGACTCGAAGAATTTGTGGAGTTTTGATTAAAAAATACCCAAATAACCAAATTTCGAAGTTTTAACTGCAACATTCAAAGCTCCGTTTCAACACTCGTATTACATTTTTCGAAGAGTTAAGAAAGCAAACGCACGTTGCAAACAAAAAAAAATTAATGTAAAAAATAATGTAAAAAAATAAAAAAAATTAAAAAAAAAATTAAAAAAAATAAAGAAATAAAAAATTAAAATTAAAAAATACATATTTGAAAGATGTAATTAACAAAGTGCAGCTAAAGAATGACAAATGTAACAAAAACACTGAGGCGACATAAAAACATAAACAACAACAACAAAAAATCGCAAATAATAAAATGAAGAGAAGAAAAGAAAACAAATTGCATAATGTAATACCTTTGAGCCTGATCGGGATTTTCGAATGTTATATGTACAGTCTGAGTATTGGGGTCCTTACTAGACACAGCCTCACACTGTTTGACGATGCCGTATGGCTTTAGCAGCGGTTCGATGTCTTCGAAACGCGTTTGCAGCGGTATGCCGCTAATAAGAATTTTCGATGTCGAAACACTGTGAACAAAGAAGAGATAAAAGTTGAAGTATAAAACAACAACAACAACAATGCAATAACAACAACAACAACAGCAACGCATAAGTGAAGTAAGCTTGTGGAAGTGTGACAAAATACAGCAAGAAAAAATACAATGCCTATGTATGTATGTACATATGTATGTGTAGCATGAGAAGAAAATACAATACAAAGTGTAACTGCATAGAAAAGTACGAGTGTAAGCGAGTACTGAAATCTCTAATTCTCTAAAGGGTTGCCAATAATTATTACTAATTTCTTTTTACGCAATAATTTGTTTAATCTTTTAAAAAGTACGCCTAGAAGTAGACATTATGAGAGATTTGTCAATGTTGGTAAACACATTTCCTAAACTACAGCAACAATAAAGCTAAAGAAACACGCGAAATCATGTTTTGTTCGTTTCAGCGCCTAAAATAATGTTTATGCTTGCAAAAATGCGCCTAAAAGTAGGCAATGTTTAACATTTGCCAAAGCATTATAACATAGTATTTCCTAAACTACAACAACAATTAAGTCAAAGAAACGCGATAACGCATGTTTTGGCTGTCTCGCGCCTAAAAGTATGCTGAGCGTCGCCTAAAACTTTGTTGCATATTAAAAAAATACAGCTAAGAGTAAGCAATATATTAAATTTTAATGATATCTACTAAACTACATGAGCAATAAAGCGAAAAACGTATGATCGTGCTAGTTAGCACCTAAAAGTATGCTACACTACAGCGCTTTAATATTTCAGGCACTGGACGCGCGCTAATAAATTCTAGCTCAGTATATGTACCGTTGCTTGTGAAAATAATTGCGCGTAGATAAAATACATTTTCGCTTGCTAATTACATTTTTGAAGCATACACTAAGGCGTAAAAATATAAAACTACTAAATGAGCAATAGATAGCGTACTAATGTTGTAGTATTGCATGAGGGAAGGTGGTTGCCACATGTTTATATTGCGGCATGACACACGCGCACCCACACGCACACAGAATTCCTAAATCCTTAACTTTGCACACAAACATACCTCAACATGTTCGTTTCCAGTTTTTCACAATAAAATTTTATTTAAAATTTGCTAACTATTGCTTGCTCCTTCACTTATTTTTTGCTTAATTTTACCGAAGTATTGCTGTCGGCGTTGAGTGCTTTAGGCTGACGACTCCGTTAAATTTCGCACAAAAGTCAGTTTGTCTTAAATTATGAAAAGTTTGTAGAAAAATTGGAAAGCAACAATAAATTTTCTTTCTCACAACACACGCTTGCCTTAAATACCGCACCAAGCATACTAAATGCACGCACGCACGCGCACTCACGTTTCCAATGACACAGACAAGTGCGTCTGAAAGAGTTTTGTTTTTGTAGTAACAGGATATTTGTTAAAGCGTTTGTGAAATTTGTTTGGCGGCTCCTTTCACTGCACGAATTTTCGAAAACAAATTTTGTTTAGTCAAAGTTTGGTATTTGGATTTTTCAAAAAGACGGAAAACTAAAACGAAATGTGTGACGACGAAGGCGGAACGAGAAAACTAAACTATTGCGAAATCCACAGCATAATATTAAAAATAAATATATACGGGAAATTTTTGAAATTGTTGACTGGCTGAAAACTATAATAAATTTCTATTTTGAAAACAACGGAAAAATTTTGAGGTTTATTTTTAATTTTTCATAGAAATGTAAAATTTAACAGAAAATGCGGTTCAAAGTGTCGCATGATTTTTTATAAGAGTGGAGTGTGCAACGCGTGATCACATACATTTGTATGTGTATATGTAAATGTTTGCATTAAAATTAAATTAAAAAAGATAAAAAAAAAGAATTTAAATGAAACAACAAATAAAAA